ACGTGCATCTTGGTTTCAATGTCGATCCCCTGCCACATCTGCAAGGGGAAGGGGGTGAGTGGGGCTGGGAGGGGGCTCAGCTCAGTGCCCACACCAAATGCCCAGGTCTCTGCAACCACCCAGCACCCTCATCCTGGGGAGATCAGTGGAGATGTCACCAACCTTAAGGAAGTCTTCAAAGGTGATGCCCTCATACACCTGGTCCGGCCCCTGGGCGCCGCAAGAGAGAAAAGGTTACTGCTGCCCCACACCAATGGGGCAGGGGTCTCAGGGTGCTGGGTCACCAGGGGGTGGGTTCCGTGGGGCTGTGGGACATGTCTCCCATGGGTGCACAGTGCTGGCTCCACCCTGTGCCCCATGGCCAACCCAAAATTGGTTCCCAGAACCACTACGGCTGTGGGGAGCTGCCTTGTTTATAATCACGACCACCCCGAGCACTGAGGATGGTGCTTTATGGGGTGCTGTCTGCTCATCCCCCCTGGGCTCTTATAATGAAAAAAAACCCCAAAACCCTGAAAGCTGCTGCCTGAAACAAAAAAATCTTCTCTGGTGAAAGCAGCCTGGGGGCAGGGGTGATGCCCCAGGCAGGATGGACACCTTCCACCCCCATTTTCAATCCCACCACAGCAGCTCTGTGCCGTGGCAGAGCAAGGAACCAGCTCCCACCATTTGTCCCACACAGATGCTGGCTGCCTCCATCATAGCCCCGTCGGCGATGGACCGAGCTGACTCCTTCTCCAGGTGGGGGTTCCCTGACAGCAGCTCCTCCACAACCTACGAGGAAGCGGGTCAAAGCAGAGACTGGGAATTTGGGGCTGGGAATTTGGTGGTGATGGGGCGGGAGGGACCATACATTACATTTCTGTACTCCTGCAGCGTGATCTTCCCATCATGGTCTGAGTCGTACATGTGGAAGAGGACTGGGAGGGACGAGAGGAGCAGAGCAGGGTCAGAGGAGCCCCGTCCTGCTGTCACCCCACCAACCCTGGGCTTTGGGCAAACCTCACATTTGAGTTTCTCTTTCCGGAAGCGATCGAGCTGCTCCTCATCCATATTCATCTCGATGGGTCTGAAGTAGGACATGATGGTCAGGAAGTCTTCAAAGTTTATCTCGTCTGCCAGCCCATCCGACTCTGGCCGCAGGTTCCTGCCAAGGAGCCACCAGTGACCTCCCCAGCCACCCGCTCCCGCTTGCCACAGAGCCCGGCACGTCCCTCGGCAAAGCTTTAGGACTGGTTTTTCCCTCAGAATTAGCTTCCATGTCTATAATTTTCACCCTGGCTCCATCCCAACCTTTAAAGAGAACTTTTCCCAGCCACGTCCCATTTTCAGAGGAGAAACCAACGACCCCGATGGTCCCCGCGGTGCCGGGGATGTTCTCACCGCTTGTCGAAGAAGGCATGGACGATTTTCCCCCTGATTGGGTTGAACTCCAGATCGGGGATGCTGTCAAAATTCTCCTTGCTGCAAAGGAAACAGAGACAGCCTGAAGTGTGAGGGACTCATGGAGGAGGGAGATACTGTGACCATCACCAAAGGGCTGGGGTAGAAGCTCCAACATCATTCTTCCAAAGCAAGCATGGAAAAACCCCAGATGTTTTGCATGAAAACCCCTGTTTGCTGCCATTTGGACTGCAGCAAGCCATGAAATCCTCGGTGTAGCCACGGGGGATTGTTGTCCCCACTAACACTTTGGGAAGCTCTGGGACACAGAAGCTCAGGGTGATGCTGGGGTCCTTCACATGGCTCCATCTGCCAACAGCTGCATGATTTTCAGAGCATTTTCCCAGGAATAAGATCCCAAATGGGGCTCAATGAGGTGAGGGAAGGAGCTTCTGCCATCCATCCACCCTCCCCTTGGTGTCCTCTGCCCCACACCGCCCTGTGTCATGCTGAGCAGACACCAGCTTGAGCACGTGCTGGTCGTTTGCTATTGACTTTTTATAAAGCAAATGAGCCAAGAAATAATCTCCAGGCAGCAGGGAGCAGAGGGCAGCTGGGTTCCCTGGCCCGGTGGCTGGTGGAGCTGGTCGGACGTGGCAGAGCTTCCCCGAGGAAGCAGAGTTGTGACTTCGGTGCACAATCAACTGCAAACCCCACAGGAGCTTCTCACATCCCTCCCAAAACTGATTTTAAAGCTGGGGGAAAACGGGATGCTTGGCAGGAGCCACCCTGCTCTCAGGTCGCTGGTCACCACTCATTTGTCCTCATGGTAATGGCAATGCCACACGGCAGGGAGCCAGCTTGGCACAGCCACGGGATGACCGGGAAGGACACGATCGTCCTCGCAGCCCGGGGAGCTGGGCAGCTCTCCTGGCACCCTGGGTTCTCCTGGGCACCCTTGGTTCTCCTGGGCACCCTGGGTTGTCCTGGGCACCCTTGGTTGTCCTGGGCACCCTTGGCTGTCCTGGGCACCCTTTCCTCTCCAGGCACCCTTGGCCAGCCCAGGGAAGGCTGGTGTAGTGGGCGATGCTCTGGCCAGCCCCCAGTATCACCCCAGCAGTGGAAATGGAAGCCCCATACCGGATCGTCAGCTGGTCCCGGCTCAGCTGCTTGAATCTCCGGTGAAGATGTTCAATCTGCTCAGAGGTGACTGTCAGGGGAAAAGAGAGAAGTGACAGGGGGGTGAGGTCCCTGGGGAACAGGGCAGCTCCTGGGGCACCCCCAGGGGACCTGTTTCAGAGCCCATGTCCTGCCCAGGGACACGAGGAGAGCAGTGGGCACCAAAACCTGCTGCAGAGCTTGTTCCCTGGGGACACCACCAAAGCCCACCCGCTCCTGGCAGCACAGCAGGGCCTTGGGGACTCCTTGGCACAACTGTCCCCGTCCCCATTTCCCTTTGGTGGCTCTGTGCAGCCTGGCGAGGTCCATCTCTCTGCATCACCCCCTGTGTGCTCTGTCCCTTGCTTGCTGCATGGGGGGGTGACAAGGGTGACACCAAGGGCTGGTGACACCAAGGGCTGATGACCCACTGGTTCATCACCAGTCCTGGTCTGTTGAAACTGCCTTGGCCCAGACTGCACAACATGGCATGGAATGGCATGACACACCATGGCATGGCACAACATGGCATGGAATAACACGGCATGGCATGGCACAGCATGGCACAGCATGGCACAGCAGAATCCCACCCCACTAGCTGAGCGTCCTCAGTAGCAGACCCTTCAAACAGGCTTGACCATGTAATTTGGGGTTTGCTGGTGTTGTGGGCAGGAGCACATCTCCACCTGCCCCAGGACATCTCTGCTGGCAGCTGGGAGGTTCATGTGCTGACCACAGCAACGCTGGGTGACAGAAAATAACACTAAAAAAAGGAAAACCCCAAAGGTGACAGCAGCCACCTGTGTCCTGCCAGGGACAAGGAAAGGCTGAACATGGAGGAGATGCACCAGCACCCAAAAACTGCCTCCCCTCGGGATGCACCAGCCCCAGGGAGCATCAGCCCGGGATGGGGATGGAAGCAGGTGCCCATCAGCCTTGTGTGGAGCCCCAGGAGCGCTGAGGTTACAGTGTGAGGCACAGCAGAAGATGTGGCAGGGGAGGGTGAGGTTGGCCATGAGGAAAAGGTTCTTGAGGCAGGGGGTGGTGGAGCACTGGAACAGGCTCCCCAGGGAGGTGCTCATGGCACCAAGCCTGACAAGATTCCAGCAGCATTTGGCCAAGGCCCTCAGGGACATGGTCTGAATGTTGGGATTGTCATCTGCTAGGGCAAGAGTTGGACTCGATGATCCTGGTGGGTCCAACTCACAACACTCTATGATTCTATGATTCACCTCCTTAATCCCACGACACAGGTTATTTTATTTTCTCCCAGCTCTTCTCATTGGGTTGTAACCAAGCTCTACAAACCCCTGAAGACACACAGAGCCTGACTCTCTTGTGCAAATATTGACAGCAGCCGTTCCCAGGAGCCAGGGAAGTGGCTTCCAGCTCTTGGTTGCAGGAGCTGCTGGTGTCTGTCCGGGCGCCAGTTGGACCCGTGTCCTCGCTGCAGCCTTGGCCGGAGCTGGGCACAGAGCAGGGCTGTGCCAGAGGCACGGAGGGAAATAAAAGCAAATTGAAGTAGAAGTGAGGGGTTGTGAGTGGTGAGGTGCTGGGGCTGGAAGATGCTGAGCTGGCCGAGGGGTTCGCTGCCTCTCTTGCTGGTGTTACGTTTAAATAACGTCGCTTCTGTCGCTGCACAGCCTTGAAAGAGGAGCTGCATTGATCAGCAGGGCTGAGCATTTCCAGCCCTGCCCTCTCTTAATGGACTGGAAATCCCATCTGTGAGTGTCTCCATCCCTGCCCTGGATCGCTGCCGGCGCTGGCAGCTGCCAGGCCCTTTGAAGGATGAGGCCATTGCAATCCCCTGGTCTGGTTTTTGGGGGGTCACTGCTCTGAACCCGCTGGGTCCCAGGTGGTGCTGCCCAGTTGGGGTGCTCAAGCACCACCAGTTCACCCATAGGATGGGTATTTCCCCCCCCCATCCCTCTCTGGCTGGTGTTCTGTGTCCACACACACATAGAAACTTTCTCTCGACTTTCCTTTCCAATTTTGGCCACTGAGAAGTGACCTTTCGCTTTCTCCCTTGACAACATCACCGTCACCATGGGAGCAGCTGGACCATCAAGCTTTCAGCATCTGTGACTTGGTCACATACCAAAACCTTTGATCTTTTGAAAAAAAAATGTCCCAAACATTGACATGACAAAAAAATCTGGGGTCACTGGCCGGATGCTCCCAGTTGGTCCAGCCCTGCTCCTGGTCTAGCCCAGTTGCAAGGTAAAGCAGAGAGCTCTTCCTCCCTTTTTCCCCAACCCCAGGTTTTCCTCGTGCAGCTCTGAGCTGCGGTGCCAGCAGGTCTGTGAGGATTGTCCAGGTCCTGCGAGGCAGCAGCACTCGGGTGCTTTTCCTGATTAAAAAAAAGCTGCACCTGGACAAAAGGGAAAAGCTCCCGTGTGAGCAGGACTGGCTCAAGGGCAGCAGAAGCTGCTCGTGGCACTGAGAACATGTCTCAGCGCTCTGATGCTGCAGGCTGGGGTCCAACCCTGGCAATATCTGTGCTATAAAGGGGGAAAAAATGGGATTTAACCCAAAAGGTGCTGGGTTTGCTGCTTCCCAGCCTGTGGCAGTTTGTGCTGCTGGAGCAAAGGGCATCCCCAGGGAAGAGACACACTGGGGGAGCTCAGCCCTGGGGTCCCCTCCCTGTGCCGTGTTCCACCTCGCTGGAGCGACCTGGGCCAGGAAAATATTGCAGCTTCCTGGGAAGACGCCGCTGCTGCAGCTTCGTGATGGGGCAGCGGGGATGGGAACTGCCCCCCACGGCCCCGAGCAGAGAGCTGGGGGTGCCCCTGAGGCTTTGGGGGTTTAAAGCA